CAGGGCATTGTTCACAATGTAGCGGTCATCAGCATGGGATGTGGTCAAAGGACGTCCACTTCTACATCTTTCTGTGACTCTTCCAGTCTCTTGGTATCTCTGTTGCAACCTGCTGATGACACTCTGTGACACTCTAAGCTCAGTGGCCATGTCTGTCTGAGAACGTCCTGTTTGAAGCATCCAAACGGCAAGTTACTGTTGATCCATTGTTAGGTGTCGTATTGGTCTCGATGTCAAAATGTGAACAGCATGATGAGGACAACTGTTTAAACACCAGCTCTAATTGAACCAGGACATTTATTGGTCGATTCAATGATCAAACACCTGTTGTGAATTTTGCCGTTAAGCTCCTCGTTAGAAAACAGCAACTTGTGCAAAAAGAACTGAAACATTTAACAGTTGGATACATGCATTCAAAGGCTTAGAGAAGGTCACATTAAGTTCACCTGTAAAGGTTTAAATGCATTTTAGGCTCGTCCTGAAATTTAACCCAAAAKCCAAATATCCCTAACTTTTTGTGAGTAGTGTATAATAGTGATGCAGAAATTAATCGAGAATCAATAATGAAATTATAACTGCTTAAAATTTTAACTGATTCATAAAAATTTACGAAACAATGATGAAATATTAATAATAAATGCTGATGTTAAAATAAAAGAAACATATTGGGTTATAAAATGGCTACAATTATTTTTGTTGAAAAATAAAAATCATAATCATGAACCTAAACTAGATAATCAAACAGAAGCGAGGCTTGAGTTGAATCTTTACATCCCTAACATATAATAACTAAACACAAACGTAATATGGAAACTGAGGTCAAAATGGGACAAATTCCTGTATAGACTGACTGCATTACAGGTTTAAGTCCACAAAATGATTTTATTTTGGTCAGGTGTTCTCTCCTGTTGATTTATATAGTTCCTACCTCTGTGTTTTATTTTCCAATATTTGTTTTTTAAAACTTGTTCAGAATCCARCAACTGTAAGAATATATGTAAAAGAAACAAATAAAGACAAACCATTTATAAAGGTCCAGTGCAACAAATGAAATCTATTCATTTTATTGTAGTTTGTCCCATTCCAAGACATCACACTGATGCACAGCTGAAAGTCAGTTTTCTTCAGTTTTCTAATAGTCATGCAGAAAACTGCAGCTTGTGATAATTACATGTTACGCTGCACGCCGTAGTGCAAAAAGTAGCATTTAGAAACTGAGTCACTGAGGTCACAAACAGGTGGATCATGGTCAGCAGTAATACTCAGGTGTAAAGGGACTTTTAAAGCCTGAAATGGATCTGTATGAGCTGATTTTGGTCAAACTTTCAGGAAATAATCCTTGGAGGTACATATGCAACTGCAAAACTCTTAGAGTTAACTGATTTAATGGCTGCCACAGTCGACTGCTTTATCCAACACAAAAACAACCATAACTTATTCAATTATACAGTTATTAAGCATGAATTTAATGTGTTAGTAGCTGAGCATCACCCATGACACATACGCTGAACAAATGGRCAACATCACTGCTTAAAACTTTAGAATAAACTCTTGTCTGTCAGCAAAATATTTCAAGAACCATTGGTAGCTTTTACTGAAACCTTCAGAAAGTAATTCTGGAATTGTAAGATTTGAAATATTTTTCATTAAAATTTTTGTCATAAATATAAATGYATTTTTGGGAAGATAACATTTATAACAAAGAAAAAAATTCACGCTGCCAAGATGAGCAGTTGTTGAGAAATTTGAATGTTTTCTAAAAGGAAGTGATGTAAAAGGRGAATGTCTAAAGGTGAACAGATCGTTGCTACAACAGCTAACAACACAGATGGTAGAGAACAATCTGATGTTTCTTTACTTTGAGTCACTATCAGAGAGCAGTAAAGAGGCAAGATTTCAATTTATAAAAACCATGAAGTTTACTTTCTTAAAGTGTTTTTCTTTGATGTCACTTCCTGTTTTACTTTGGCTGAGCTGAATGTAAAAGAAAATATGCCAGTTATGTGACAAAATGGGTAAAACTGTGTATTATACCAAGTTTCTTAAATGCACAGAAGTTTTCTTTTAGTTTTTGTATTCGAATGATGTGTATGTCAGAGGTATTTTAAATGCACTTCACATGTACACACATACATACATACACACACATGCTATGTCTCTCTATCCTTGTGGGGACATTCCTTTGACTTCCATTCATTTTTTTTTTTTAAATTTTATATCCTAACCCTGACCACAAACCCTAAGGC